ATAGGTTTTAATATGATGGGTTATCCAAGGCTTATGATGCAGTTTTGTAGTCCATATTGCAATTAACTTGTTGAGTTATATGCCCCTTGCTGAGTTTTTGTGCAGTTACAAAGTGGAATATCCCCAGGTATCTGTAAAGGTTATTAAAACATGCCTCCCTTTTCTAAGTAAGTACTGTAGGTAAACAAACACAAAACGGAAAAACCCTAAACCCCACAACAACTCAGCAAATCATTACATGAGTCTGTGTGTAAGAATCCAGCTGTTTTCATTAAGCTAGACAAGTTTTACAGAAATGAGCAGGCAGAGCAGTTTTCCTCTACTTTGTTAAAAAAATACATATATATGTATATATTTCATAAAATAATTTAGGTTAAAGTTTAATGGATTTAGGGCTGGGTGTGGTGGCATATGCCTATAATCATAGCAGCCAGGAGGCTGAGGCAGCAGGATTGCTGTGAGTTCGAGGCCATCTTGGGCTACATAGTGAGACCCTGTCTCCAAAAAATAAAAATGAGAGCGAGAAAGGGCCACAGAATTTGAGACCTGGATTTATCCATCTCTGTGTCTGAAAATGCTGGCTTGGTCACAGAGCAAATTTCCACCGATTCACAAGTCTTCCACGGTTGTCTCTTCTTCACTTGATCTTAGCCAAAAGGCCGAGAAGCGATGGTTGTCTCTTGTACCAACACCACACTGTGTTAAAAGTTACCACACTACAATCAGTGCTGTTAGCTCACCCTTTTCTTTCTTCCAGTCGTATTGATCTCTCCAGGCCTCTGTTCTCATATAACGAGGAGGACACATAAATACTTTTCCCTCTTACAGAAGTAACAGATGTTTAAAGCAAAAACATTTAAAAAATAAAGTAAAAAGAAATCTCCCAATACAGATGAACTGAATATTCCAGTGTGTAGCATTTACTTTCTAGACTATATATACAATTTATATGTGTATATACACAATTTGTATATGTCTACTCTTTGCATGCATATGTCATTTAAAAACAAAGCAAAAATAGGATCTTATTTTACCTTGTCTTTATTTAGTTTTTGGGTTTTTTGGTTTGTTTGATTTTGTGAGACAGGATCTCACTATATAGTTCAGGTTGGCCTTGAACTCGTGGCAGTCCTCCTGCCTCAGCTTCCTGAGTGCTGGTATTACAGGCATGTGCCACCATGCCTGGCAAGTTTGGATTTTTGAGACGGGTTCTCACCTTTAGTTCAGGGTGGCCTGGAACTCTAGCCCACACTGGTCTTGAACTCATGAAGATCCTCCTGCCTCAGCCTCCCAAGTGCTAGGATTACAGGTGCTCACCATGCAGGCTCAGGCCTGCTCTTTTCTATCCAGCTTTTTACATTTAATATTATGAACATACTTGCATGTCATTTACTGGTCCCTTTGGTACCCTAGGCTTTAGTGGGTTCCTGGCACTGTGTTTGAATGAATGTGCATAATCTCTAACCCTTTTTGATGGTGCCGTTTGGGGTTGTCTCATTTTGCACTCCTTGTGGCTGAGTCATACTCATGCTTATGTGGGACTTCTTGAGATCTGTTCTAGGGAGGGTGGCTTGGCCTGAAGTGATGGCTGGGCTGGGTGGAGAGGCAGGGTAGTGGCAGGTAGCTGGATGGGACAGATAGAAAAGAGCAGCAGCTGCAGGGATTGGGTAAGGAGAGTCCCAGTGTCTTGTGAAGGGCATGGTGGGGAAGAAGCCAGCAGGGCCTGATGCGATATCAGCAGCGGGGGCAGCTGGGTGGTAGGCAGCACAGGCGCCCTCAGGCAGAGGCCTGCACATCTGCCCTTTGGGGTCTGAAGAAGAGGAGACACTCAGACTCCACTGCTCTGCATGTAAGGCCTTCTCCACCTGCTGCAGATGGGCAGGGGCCCAACCACAGCCCTGACTCTGGCCTGATCAAGGTGCTGGGGCCAGACTGCCTCATCCCTCTTGCATGCCTGTGGGTGGTGGGTAGGGACATGAGTGGGCATAGCGTGGATGCCCAAGCCCTAGAGCAGCCCCAGGGTCCCTTCTCAGCTGACCAGACATGGCGGTGCTTCCCTTGCATGTGGCCCAAGGCTAGCAGGAGGGCGGCTGGCATCTGTTCTTACTGCAGCGAGGCTGGCACTGTGGGCAGGCTGTGGGCTGCAGTTCGGACCTTGGCCTCTTCTGCTGGAGAGCCCATTGGAGTGTGAAGCAGGGACAGGAAGTGTTCCCAAGGTTGCTGTGGTTGAGAAAAGCCTGCAGAGGGACAGGTAGCTGATTAGGGTACTTGCATGGTCCTGGTGAGAGTTGGGGTGCCAGGAGCCAAATGGGGAAAGCTAGTTAACTCTGGCTTTTGAGAGGTCCGAGCACCTTACAGCTCTCACCAGATTGGATACAGGCAGGCCCCAAGGGTCCAGGAGAGCTCAAGCTGAACTCTTGGTGTGCAGCTAGGGTGAGGGAGGGGCTGCATGGGGATGCAGGGCAGCCTGGGGGAGGAGATATGCCGGACCCCAGGGAGAGTATCATGGGTCTCCTATGGACGTCAGCCTGGAGAGCCCCCTTTGGGAGCCAGCAGCATTCAGGTAAATCGAGAGATGGGAGATCTCCCAGGAGGTGGGTGTAACAGAGAGGGGATTGAGGGCCCACCCAGGGCTCGCCAGCATCTGGAGGTCAGGAGTTGGGAAGGAGCCAGCCACCATGGGGAGGCTGGGAAGGACTGGCTGGGGTGAGTGTCCTGGCTAAAGGCAGTCTCTCTCACTGTTCAGTCATGTCTGTGAGCACTGAAGTGACATCTGGGCCCCATGGCCTACGCATGATGCAATTCCACGGTGTTGGCTGCACACGGGAGTCTAGGCCAGGGATCAGCTGTAATGAACTCAGGCTTTGCTCCAACCAGCCTGGGGACAGATGTCTAGACCAAGAAGGGCTTCTTTGAGGCACGGTACTGTGGCCTGGCCAGAGCCAGTGTAAGCGTCAGTTTCCCCACCTGTAAGATGGAGCATCGCAAGGGTTCCCAGAGAAACTGCACGCAGCCTGCTCAGCCAGCCCAGGGACTCTGAGTTCTCCCAGCTGTCCACAGCCCAGCCCTAGGGATGGCTGGGTGCCTAAGTCCAGATTTCTGGGGCACAGAGCTGCCCCTGCCCGTTTCTTGCCCCCTTCCATGAATCACACCACTCATCTTTCCAAGAAATCTTAATTTCTTTATTGTTTGACTTTTTGACTCAACAATTTTTTTTAAAACTTTTTGTTTTTTTCTGAAACGTTCTTGTTATGAGCCTTTTATTTTGTTCTCGTTAAATGCACTCGACCCAAAATTGGTTTGGCATATCGAAAAGGAGACCAAGGAGGGAGGGAGGGCGGGCTGGGGACGTGGGGGAGGCCCAAATGGACAGGGGGATTGAGGATGAATAGGAAAGGAGCACGGAGACACTGAGAAAGACACAGGTAGAGAGGTGGAGACAGGAGAGAAAGGAAAGGCAAAGGAAATCTAAAAGGAAAAAAATCCAGAGAAAAAGAACAAGGTTTGGGAGCAAATGAATCCAGGAGCCCAAGGAGGGGAGTGGGAGCAGAAACCAAGACCCTTGTCTATACCGTGCCAGCTGGGGTGGGGGCGTGAAGGCACCAGGTCTGGTTGGGGCAGGGACACCTGGGCTCTCTGGGAGGCTTTGCACTGGACTGCAGTGGTACCCATCCCCACCAGGGGGCCCCGCCATGCAGCCTGGAGGTGATTCCAAGAGCCACTACACCCTCTCTCCCCTTGATTGTCCGTGTCTGGAGAGACAGCAGAGGGCCCAGGCTAGGGAGAGGATGCAGCTCCTGACACCTTTGGGCCCAGAGTTCTGCACCTGTCTCCCCAGGCTGGCCCCTCACACTCAGGTGCTCAGGGCCTGGTGAAGTCAAGGGCTCTGCTCACACAGCCCTATGGCAAGACCTGCCACATCTTTCCTCCTCTTCCCCATCTCAACCTTGTCCACGGGCTCCTGGTGAAATGGGTTAAGACTTCCCCCAGAAAAAGCCACAGATGGAACTGCACCCACCTCTCCCCATGCCTGTTCCCCTGTGGGACAAACCGCCATCTTTGGTCTGACCCTTCTCTCCTGATTGGTGAGGACAAGCCAGCCCCAGCTCCCCAGGAGAAGGGAGGGGGCTTTCTAGCAGCAAAAAGGGTCCCTCTAGCCACCTACCTGTCCCCTTCTCCCAGTTCCTTCTGGAGCCCCTCCCCCCCCCACCCAAAGTTCATGGCGGCAGCAGGCTGAGACCCAGAAATGTTTGAAACTCATGGCACTTGTGAGAAAGGAGAGTGAGAAAGGAGAGGTTTGACAGAGGCAGAAGGGGCGCCCCTGGAGCAATGGCAATGGGGTGCTGCGCCAGTGTGGCAATGGGGCTATGCTGTCCAGAAGGGTAGAGGGCTGGGGAGGCCAGACCACAACGCCGAAGGGGCTGGGGGGAGAGGGGAGGCGCTCAGGAGACACCCAGCCAGGCTGGCTGTGTGGGACAGGTTGGGGAACAGACATCCTGGCTGCTTGGCAGAAAGTGAAGGGGAGGTGACCACTCGCTGCCTCTGCTGCCCTACTGCCACCCCCACCCCCACCGACCACAGCAAAACCTCTGCCCTCACTTGCCCATCCTTTCCCCATCCACCTCCTCTGCCCACTGCCTGGAGTCCCAGAAGCAATGTACAGCAAGCGGGCCGGGTGGAGCACAGCGTCTTGGCAAAAGCATCTTTGGGTGTGAGGGTGTCTCCCGGGCTGGGCCGAGGGAGTGAGGCAGCCTTGGTCCTGGGGCAGGCTGTGAGGTGTCACCCCAAGGGCTGACTACATGGTGCGTAGCAGGGTGCCAGGAGGGAAACGGGTTCTTTGTTTCGCTGTTGCTTCTAGATTTTGTTTGTCTCTGGATTGTAAAAAGCTGCTCTGGTGGCCCTCCCACCCCGGCCGGGATGCGCACAAACATGGAGAAGTCCTGGCTGCTGGGGTGGTGGCGCCCTCTGCTCCGGAGAAAGTCCGGGCCGGCCTGGGCCTTGGGCGCCAGTGGCTTCAAGTGATGAGATTCTTTTTTTTTTTTTTTTTTTTTTTGTCTTTTTTCTCTTTTCCATTTCGTTGAAATATTTACAGCAGTGGGGGAGGAGGAGAAAGGAAGGGGTGAGGGGCCCCCCAGGGAAAGATCCAAGCCCAGGACCCACTCCCCAGGGAGATCCAGACCCCAGATCTGTTCCCCAGAGCGCCAAGCCCACAGACCTGGGAGCCACCCTAGGCTGGGCCGTCGCGAGGAGTTGTGCTTCATCAGGAGTCACCCCAGGAGGGGTCATTGGGTGTACTGTGGGGGTGGGGCAGGCTTGGTGGGGAGGTGGGACAACAGCAAGGGGGCAGGAGCTTCAGAGAAAGTTCCACCTTGAGGCCACTGGCCACGGCCCATCCCAGTGTCAGCCTCAGCTGGGCTTTCTCCCGGGCTGCGGGACCTGGTCTCCAGGAAGCAGGGGCTGCTGTCCATCTGTCCTACAGCCAGGGAAGCCTTTGGCAACTTCAGAAGCTGCCCCGCCCCCAGGGAGACCAGAGCCCTTGCTGCTCCCTCCAGGGGTGGCAGGATAAGGGGAGGGGGAGAGTTAAGAAGCAGCTTGCACCCTGCTGGGCTCTCCCTAACTCCCCGGGGCCTCTGGGCTCCTCCCTGGCCTTCTCCCAAACAGCTGGTGCATGTGGCTGGTGGGAAACCCTGTCTGTGAACCCTGGCACTTCGGGCCCCCACATCAGAGCCCCCTGAGGGGACCCTAGGGCCCATGGCCAAGGGGCGCTGGAGAGAGTGGTCCACCAGCCACTACCTCCACCAGCCTCCCTCTCCCACCAGGGCCCTGCCCAGGGTCTTCCCCCTGGCCGGAGCTGCCAGGCCCTGGTCCTCAAGTACCCTCAGAGACTGGTGACCAGCTGCATCTGCCCGTCCCCATCGGGCCCTGGCCCCTCGAGGCCTGGGGCCGCCAGGTAGCCCTCATGGCTAGGCCGCCGCACCTGGTAGTAACCCTGCAGGGGGTTCCGGGCCACCAGGGCCGGTGGGCGAGAAGTATAGTAGATTTCGGGGGGCCCTGGGGGTGCAGGCGGAGGTGGGGGCAGGGCCTCGCTGGGCCCCTCGGGGCTGCTGTCCGGGTAGGAGGGCGAGTCCCGCAGGTTGGCCCCGCTGGCATAGAGGGAGTCCCGGCCCGGAGGGGAGGAGAGGGGCCGGCTGGTGGCGCCATCCTCTGCTGTGCAGCTCTCTGACTCATCCAGGTCACTCTGATACAGCACCGACTGGGCCCGGGGCAGCAGCAGTGGCTCCTCCAGGGCCTTGTAGAGAAGTTCAATCTCTGCCCGGTCAGCGCTCCCAGGCCCACTGGGCTCTTCCTCGCCACCGCCCCCTGGCACCGGCGGCACGGGGGGCTCGGGTGGCGGGGGGCCCTTGGCCCCACTGCCACCGCCCCTCAGGTTGTTGTGCACCAGCTCCGAGATGATCATCTTCTCAAAGGCTGCAGCATCGGCCAGGTTGCGGCCTCGTGGTGGCTCTGAGGCCCCATCCCCAGGTGGGAAGTCTCCACTTCGCAAGGAGTAGCTGTTGTTGAAGTTGCCGTTAAGGGGCAGGGTGTCCATGCCGCAGGCTTCTCGGCCTCCCAAGGGGTGCTCTGCGGGCCAGAAAGGTTGGTCAGGAGGGCGAGGGGCGGCTGTGTTGGTTGGGGAAGGGGGCCCCCCTTCATCTTCTGGGCTCTGGTCCCACACCCCCTCCTCCTGGCCTGCTTGAGGGCAGCTGCCCAACAGTAGGTGGAGGAGTAAGGACCAATCTCTGAGGCCCCGCCCCCATGTGTGAGCTCAGACCCTCATTTGGGCCCTCATTCTGCATGACGGCCCAAAGGCCACTGCCACCGTCCATGGTGCTGGAGGGGCCTCCTGTGCTCTGGTCCCTGAGGGAGGAAGGCCACCACTGTGTTCCTCCCGGGATGTAGAAAGCCACCAGGAAAGAGACACTTACTGGGCTCCCGGTAGCTTCCTGAATGCCAGCCAGGAGGGAAAGAGAAGATGAAAGTCAGCACAGAGTCTGGCTCCCCACACCCAGACCCCAGGGGCAGCCCGTGCACAGGGACCCAGAACACCCTCACCTGGGGAGTTGAAGACGGGGGGTGAGGAGGGGTTGAAGCCCACTGACTCGGCGATGAGGGTGTTGTAGGGGCTGGTGCCCCCTCGGGGCTGCAGCACGGGGTTGGTCAGTAGGTGGTTCCCCATGGTACCTGCCCAAGGGTCAGAGGTCACAAGGAAGCCCGGAGACAAGGGGCTGAGAGCTGGAGGGGTTAGGAGCTGCCATGGAAGAGGGATGCCTCTCACCTCGGTTCAGGGTGGGCGTGCTGTTGATGTCCCCTGCCATGAAGGAGGACTCCGTCTGTTTCCTCACTGTGTCATTCCACATTCTCCGGATTCGGCTCTGGGGACACATGCCGGGGTCTTAGGGCCACCTGTCCTCTGTGATCATTCTGAGACTGCTCTCCTGGGCACCATGGCCCCATCCCGCCCCAGTACCTGGGTGCCCGTGTAGTAGCGGGTATTGCTCCGCATGGCTGAGGTCTTAAGGGAGCCGTGCGTTCCCCCCGGGGGGGAGCGGATGCAGCAGTAGGAGTGACGCAGGCACTTGCTGTACTCCTTGTGCACCTGGGGGATAGATGGGGACAGTCAGCTGGCAGCAGGTGGCAGCCCCCTTTGTGGTACAGCCCCCACAGGCCAGCCGGAGAAGCTGTTCCCCGCCTCAGGACCTGTCAGCTCAGAACCCTCCCTGTCACCTATCCCTGACAGCCAACTGTTCAGGCTCACTCTCTTTCTTTGGGGCCAGGCTCTTCCCACCGTATATTCCCAAGCCAGCAGAGCACCAGGGGGAGCCTGTGTGCCAGGCACAGTAAAAACCAACCTCTACCTTGCAGCACTTGGATCTGAGCAGCTTGAGTGCAGATAATGCACCCTTGGTATGGGGGATGGCATCAGGACTCCTTCAGATACCAAAGTCAGCAGATGCTCAAGTTCTCTATACGAACAGTGTGGTCCTGCACAACTGTGTGTTAAGTCATCTGTAGGTTATTTACAGTGTCTAATATAACGCACACACTATGTAAATAGTTATTACACTGGATCGTGTAGGGAGGAATGACCAAAAACAGACCGGACATGTTTAGCACCATTTCCTTTTCTGAAGTATTTTCAACCCACAGTTGGTTTGTAGAGGGCTGACTGTGTGCCTCAAAGGATGTTCCAGGGGGTCAGTGCTGTGGGGAAAGCTGTGGCCAGGAAGGGATAGGGCAGTGCTGGCAGGCTGTGTGTTGGGATTTAGGACAGGTCAGGGGAGGCTCACTAGGAGACATTTGGGCCAAGGCCTGAGAGAAGGCAGCTGCCCATGGCTTTCTGGGGAAGGATGTGAGGCCCAGGGCAGCATGGGGTTGGGCCCTGAGGAGGGTCCTGCATTGGTGCTTCGAGCAGATGGGTAAAGCAAGGGGCCAGGTTGCACTGGGTGGGTCTAGGGATGTCTGTGGAGACCTCGCTGTGCAAGAATCAGTTTTGATGTCTGGGTGAGCCACAGCATGTGTGTTTATGTGCGTGCCTGTGTGTATCGAAGCCAGCCCCAAGTGCCACATGTGTAAGAAGCAAGGGCCCCTCCTGAGCTGCAGCACTGGTCCTTCGTGGCCAGCTTCCCTACAGCCAGGGTTCCTGTGCTCCTGCCTCTGCTTTCCCTCAGTAGCCTGGCCCAGGTCCTTGGTGCCTTCAGGACAAGGTCTGCAAACAGCTCAGCTCAGTTTCTGTTTTTGTTTTTTTGAGACAGGGTCTTGCTATGTAGCCTGGCTACACAGCAATCCCAAGTGCGGGGACTGCGGGTGTGTGACACCATACCTGGCTCAGCTGAGTTTCTGAAGCTTTGGTCTCCAGCCTGCTGCCTGCGCTCCTTTCTTTCTTTTTTTCTGAACTCCTTTCTTCGCACTCCCCTGCTACTGTTGTCTCCTTGGTACATGTTCTTTTACGATCTAGACTTTAATACATCTATTTTTTTTTTAGGGGGGGGGTTTGGTAACGGGGATCAAACTCGGGACCTTGCGTTTACAAAGCAGGCATCAGAACCACTGAGCTAAATCCCCGGCCCTCTATTGTATTATTATTATTATTTTTTTGTACCGGGGATCGAACTCTGGACCTTGTGCTTGCGACACAGGCAATGGCACCACTGAGCTAAATCCCCAACACATCTATTTTAAAAGGGACCTTTCTATCACCACAGAATTTACAGTTACAGCTCCATTACAGAGGAAATGCTCCATCAGGCTGGTGCCCAGCTGTCTCCCACCCGTGGGCCTGGCTCATGCCTACACCGTGGCAAGGACATTCCTGCTGCAGACCTGTTCTGCCTTCATGCTCCTCTAGGTTGCTATGTCTGGCTGAATCTTCCCTGACCCTGAGCCTGGCTCCTCTCCCAGCAGACAGGGCTGTGCTGTGGGAGGCACTGGGGCTCAGGGGCACCCAGTTCCCCTTCACCCTCACTCCCGCCTTGTTCTGAGACAGGAACGTCCTGTGGAGGCATCTGCCTCACCTTCTTCTGTAAGGCGCAGTGAAAGACGAAGATGAAGACCCCCTGGAAGGCGTTGAAGGTGGTGAAGAGATAGGCCATGACCACTGACTCCTTGTTGATGAAGAGGAGGCCAAAAGCCCAGGTGAGCCCCAGTAGGAAGAGCAGTGCGATGGCCCCCAGGGCCCAGGACCTGGGGGAGCCGGACAGGCAGGTCAGGGACCTGCTAGAGGAGGCAGCATAGCCCAGCACCTGTCCCTGAAGCCCCAGCCTGGGGTCGAGCAGCCTCGGGCCAGGTAGCCTATCTGGTGACACCTCTAGCAGTCATTTACTCTATTCCCACACTTTATACCCAGTTCAGCAGGCTGTTTTTCTTTAATTGCCATTGAGTGGATCTATGTTTGAACTTGGCCTCAAAACCACAGGCTGGATGTGCTAATGATATGCTTCCTAAGACCGCTAAGTAGGTACATAATGAGTATGAGAAAACACCCATCTGATACTTAGACCCATGTGTGTGATGCCAGCGTTATGAGCACCCCATGGAAGGAGGCCCAGGGAGAGGCCAGGCCCAGCCTTGGAGCCCCAGGGGGATAGGGATGTGGGTGGGACTCACTTAATGTTGTCGAGGCGACTGGAGTCTGGCTTTAGCACGGAGGAGCTTCGGATCATCTTGTGTAGGGTCACCATGAGAAACACTAGGTTCACCTGGGGAAGGGGAAGGAGGTGGGCTGAGTTCCTCCCCCTCCATGGGCTCTGGGCAAGGGCCTGCCCTGCCAGGTCTCAGCTGCTATACCCCTGCCTTTCTGAATCCCATTCTGGGAGAACCCCAGGGTGCCAGCAGATAGGCCAGGTGTTAAGTACACATGGTAGGGGCTCAATCCCAGTCTCTGGGTGATCAGGCCTTGGTCCTGGGGCTCTGCAGACCCAGTCTTCTGGTTCTCTTGGTTGGCTACTCAGTTTTGATGCAGTTCCCAAACCATCACCTCTCAGGCTTTAGGCAAGGCAGGGTCAGGGGTGGCCTAGGTGAGAGAAGGAGCCCAGAGCTGGGGGCACTGCTGGCCACTTACCACAATGACAAAGGAGACTGGCCCAATGAAGCTCCAGATGAAGTAATTGTCTACTCGGAGCCAGCAGCTGTAAAGAAAATGGACCAGGGTGGAGAGAAGGCAGTGACCCAATAGTCCTGGCCTGAGGGGTGCCACTGAACAGAGACCCAGCAGGAGCAATGGGGGATACTCACGCCTTCTCGGTGCCATAGCTGCGGTAGTCGATGGCTGCTGCGATGCCCACCACCAGGGCTGGGAAGCAGTAGCCACCCAGATAGTAGTACTTGGTGCGGGAGTACTCGCTCTCGAACACTTCCACCAGCAGCAGGTAGAGGTGCACGCCCTCCAGACACAGCCAGGAGAAGGCAGCCAGGAAGAAGTAGTGCAGCAGGCCAGCAAAGATTGGGCAGGCGATCTGCGGGGAGGGCCAGGTGCTGGTGAGGGAGGCCAAGCACTGGCACCCCACCCCACCACAGCCTGGGCCCCAGCCTGGCCCCAGCCCACCTCATACTGAGTCTTGTCTATCCCGACCAGGAAGAGCAGCTCAGCCAGGAAGAGGTTGATGCACAGGTTCTTGTGGATGGTGTTGCGGTCGGTCTGCAGCCCCCGCAGGAAGCAGAAGGTAGAGATGCAGATAGCCAGGCAGACCAAGGAGATGACAATGCCCACCCAGGTGATGACTGATAGCAGCAGCTCGTTGATGCGACCCTGGTACTGGGGACAGGAGCAGGGGAGGCTCAGGGCCTCTAGCTGCACACAACCGGGTGTGTGCAAGGCCCAGCCAGGCACCAGCTGTAGGCAAGGCCCTCCGGGGCTGCCCACCTGGCCCACTTGCCCGCCCCACCCCACTGCAGGCAGCCGCTCACTTCCTCATGCTCTGGAAGGCTTGTGGAGAGATGACAAAGGTGACAGCAACATGCTTCTCCAGACTGCCTCGGGAGAAGGTGGATGTGACCAGAGGGAATCAGAGACGGGCCTCTGCCTCAGGCAAGACAAGATGGCGGCCCCCCACCCCGATGCTGGCTTCCCCGGCACCACTCCCATCGTGCACGTCCTAGGGTGCCATGCAAAGCTGGGCCAGCAGCAAATGGGCCCCAGAGGAGCAGTGCACCGTAGCTTACGATCTCTCGGTGAGCCATGAGCACTGCAAAGTTGGTGAGGTGGCTGCAGGCACAGGTGGTGTGGGTCTTGTTGGACTCCACCAGGCGGCAGCCCTGGGTTGACCAGTAGCCCAACATGGAGCGCTCTGAGTAGTTCCAGAAGGAGCAGTTGGCATTGAAATGGTTCTTGGCCTGTTGTGTAGCAGTGGCCAGGGTGTCAGAACCAGGAGCCACAGTCTGGACCCCACGCCCAGCTCCAGGGATAGCACCCATTGGGAAAGAAGTGCCTGGGGCTTGGGGCCCAAGGTGATGGGCTGTAACTTGCTGTTGGGGCAGGGGACACGCAGTCAAGGAGTGCCGGCTGTGGGCTCACCTCCAGATGGGCCACGGTGAAGATGACAGGGTCCATGAGGAAAACGCGGCTAGATTCCTTGTTAATGGATGCAGCGATGACCTGTGAGTTCACCACAAGGGAGGCACCCCCGGTGCCCACCGCGCTGGCCTCACCCGCCAGCTTCACTGTGGCATTCTCCGTGGACAGGAAAAGGCCCAAGTTGTTGTAGAGGATGAAGACAACTTTGACCACTCCTGGGGAGGATAGCTGGGGATGCGGCAGCTGTCCTTGGCCGGCAACCTCCATCCAGGCCCCTGGCCTCACTATTGGCCTTAGCCACGCTGGACATGGAGACTTCTGAAGCCAGGCTGTGGCCCCAAGCCTGGAGCCTTGCTACAAGACCATTGTTCATGGCTGGGCAGTTTGGATGGCAGCGCAGAGGCTGGGGATGGTTTTGACCCACTCTTTTTCCCTGTGTGACCTGGGCAGATCCCTGACCTCTCTTGTCCTAGCCTTCTCGGAGCTGTGGTCCAGCTGAGCTATTGCCCAGGAGACAGCTCTGTAGACCCATGGCACCCACTGAGAGCGTATAAAACTTGCCAGAAGTGCAGAACCCTTGCCCTCCATGAAGAGCAGAGATGGCAGCTGAGGGCTGGGGGTGGGTGGGAGGGGTGGCCCATGCTGTTCCCTCCCAAGGCCTGGCCAGGCGCTCACCATTGCGGCTGTTCTGCTTGATGGTATTGGCGGACAGCTGGATGGAATTCTCGCTGGGGTACTCCTGGGGAAAGACCAGTTCCTGCACCTGGCCCTCCGTGTTCAGGACAGTGACCTCCAGGACTGTAGGCACGGGATGGCAGGGCACGTGCCATTAGGGTCTGTCCCCAACCAGGGGGCCAGCCTCCCCCATGGTCTCTGGGACTCAGGATTTGCACCCAGCCTGACCCAGGTGGCTGTGGCACTCACCCACATTCTGCTTGGCGGCCAGGAAGCGGGCAGGCTCCCTGACATTGTCAGCCAGCAAGAAGGCGCCCTCCTCTAGCACATCTAGGAGCATGGTGGCCGTGTGCACCTGCTCTGTGGCATTCATGTCCTTCCATGACTCGAGTGCCTCTGGCCGGAGGAGGTTGTCCACTGTTTCTACCACGGCCTGTGCAGGCAGGGGACAGTGCTGAGTCCCCTGTGTGCTCTCGTTCCCTTCCTTACCACCTCTACCTATCTCCCCATCAGCCAGGGCCTCACCTTGATGTAATCCTTGCAGGTTCGCTCTCGTTTGTGCATCTGGGGAAGACACAGGGGTGGCATCAGGCTGGGCCCCCAGTGCCACTTCCCTAACCCCAGCATGCTCACGTCAGGGCCCAGAGAGCTCACTCTCTGTGTCTGCCACCAACCTGGAGCTGGGCCTTGAGCCCCAGGTCCATCAGGGAAGGCCTGGGTCCTTCCGCACAGATGACACACTCAGAGCTTCCAGTCTGATGCTTAAACCCCCAGTTATGCCCATCTGCCCTTCTGTGGGCCCACCTTGTTGTAGTTCTTGCCGGCTGACTCGCGCTCAATAGGCCGCAAGGCCTGCAGCTGGGCATCCAGGATGTCTAGGAGCTGCTCCATGAGCTTCACCGATGAGGACACGTCCCCTGCATAGATGGAGCCCCGAGTGTGGCGGGCCAGTTCGCTGGCGATGTTGGCTGCATTCTCTCCGCTTTTGATCTGGGGAGGCCAGGACAGGGCACCTCAGTGCTGTTGGGGGCTAGCCTGCCCTCCCCGCCTATGCTCTGCACCCTGTCCCTCCCTTCACCTCTCAGGACTGGTGTGGACCCCAGTGCAGCTGCCTTCAGACCCACTGGCCAAGTGCATGCCTGCCTGCGAGAGACCCACACTCTTACCTTCTGGGCCACCTGGTTGACCCAGGGGGAGGTGCAGTTGCTGAGATCAGGGCCCCGGGGGTTCCAGAGCCCTAGGGCTGGCAGACACTGGAATGAGGCAATTCCTGTGGAGACAGCCAGGGATAAGGATACCAGGGGAAGGAGCAGAGGAGGGTTGAGAAGGAGGTGTGAGCGTGGGAGTGGACCAGGGTGAGGGGACAGGGAGGGGAACATGGAGACGCAGATGTGAAGTGGTGAGGCAGCATTCACCCCTCTCCTGACCACCCTTTTCCTGTTCTGCCCTCCAGAGGTGGAGCCTTCCTTCAGGGTCCATGTTGAAGCCCCGTCTGGCAAGCCCATCCTGTAGCTGGCTGCTCCACCTCAGCCAGGCTAGGTGCCAGCCTACCTCTGCCGCTCTCAGTCTGAAGCTGGGCCTACCCTGCACCCTGCCACGTAGTCAGACATGATTCCCACAGGCAGCTGTGCCCATGTGAAGCTGCTGGAGTGTGCACCCCTGCCACCCACCCAGCCTTGGTGGTCATGGCTGCGGCTGCTGCACTCACCTCGGGTGCCCTTGGGGCAAGGCCTCTCCACCAGCATGCCCTGTTGGGTGGCCGGCCACTGGACCCGCCGCACCTCTCGGGGTTCACAGAAGAGCTCGGGGGACACGTGCAGGTTGGGGGCTGGGGGCCGCCGGGTGCTGGGGGCAGGAGCTGTGGCTGGAGGCAGGTCAGGTCCAAGCTGGTTGATGGCGCCCACTGGGTGTGTGGTGAGGGGCGCCCGGCGAAGTGGGGTGGTGGCTGCAGGTGAGGCTGTGCTGGTAAGGGGCGTGGGCCGGACAGTGGTGGTTGTGCTGAGTGGTGGGGACGTAGCTGGGCCTGGAAAGGAGAGGGGGTGGGGACGGGCTCACACCCAGCAAGGGTCCCCGGCAGCCCTGCTCCTCCCCTACTGAACAAAGGTGCCCTGGGCCCACTGGGCCTGGAAGCTGACGTCCCCAGCCTCTCTGCCCAGCAGATGCCCTGTGCTCAGGTGACCACATAAGGTAGGGACTGGCTAGAGAAATGCACTGGAGAAGCAGGCCAGAGAGGTAAGGCCTGAGCACAGCCACTGCTCATGCTGACCATGTTGGCATTGACTTGGGTCTATGAGCTGGTCACCCTTCCCTCTGGGGGCCTCAGTTTCCCCTTTTGCAAAGGAGGTTGGATTAACTAAGGCTCCCGGGGGCTGCTCAGAGTTGGTTCGGGCAGCTGGAGGTGGGAAGTGGTACAACAGAAGGGCCTTCCCCCTGCTCACCCCAGCAGCTCGGCTGTGTCCTGCTCTGCCGACAATGGGTGTCCCAGGGTTGCACCTCAACCAGGACCAGGTGTGCCTGGGGTCCCTGGCAGAGGCAGCTTAGGTCAGTAGCTAGGCACCCAGAGTTCTGGGTTCCAATCTTCACATAAGCTACATCCCTGTCTATCCAGAGCCTCCATTTCTGCATCTGTAAATCAGGGCAGTCACAAACCCTGTCACCTGACTGTGCACCTCAGTTGAGTTAACAACTGTGGAGTGCTTAGACTGCGTGTCTACCATGTTGTGACCTTTCACCTCCCTGAACCTGTCTACAAATCCCCAAGACTCAGAGTGGACCCCCTACCCTGGAAGCAGAGGCCTGGAGGTGGGATGGGAACAAAATTGCATAGGCTAGTGGCCTGGAGCGGGCTGTCCTCACCAGCGCTGGGGTCTGGTGGCCCGAATTCCAGGCTGTAGCGCACCACAAAGTAGTTGTTCCAGACGTACAGCTGGTTGTCACGGGGGTTGTAGTCCACGGAAGAGACAAACTGGTAGGGGTTGGGGAAGGCCAGGCTGACGGGCTCCTCGCGGTTGGCGTTGGTGTTGAAGGCATAGTCCACGCGGTTGCCGGCGGCCTCACTGTCATCATCCACATACACAGAGCGCAGCACATAGAGCACACCACACACCATGAAGGCATTGGAGGCTGAGCGCTTATCGTAGCCGGTCTCCCATGTGCCCTCGAACCGCAGTGTGTAGGGATTGAGCTGGCTCACCACCAGCCGCCCATTGTTGCCCTCGGTGGCGTAGATAACCCACAGTCCGTTCTCGTCCACAGCCAGGTCAATGTCAGTCTTGCCGCCCCAGCGATAGGGCGAAGTGTCATGGTAGTTGGCCGTGTTGATGACCGTCTCCCCGCTTTTGATGCGCGTCCTCAGGTCGTACTTGACAATGTTGCGCGTTCGCTCCTTGTTGTAGAAGACAGCGCCATCATAGACCACGAAGCCTGTGCCATCCACACGGTTGGGCAGCCGGTAGGTGGTAGTGTGGCGTGCAGCCACATAGTCCTCCCATGAGGCATACTCGGTGAGCGTGTCCGTGCGGTAGGGGATCCAGGGCATGACGTAGATGCGGTCGCCCGCCTGCAGTGGGTCCTTGCACCATGCACCTGACTGGTGCTCCGACTCATGCGTTGAGGTGGGCTCTAGCACCTTCTGCAGGGTCCCTGGGCACACAAAGACTGGGCCAGGTGTAGAGGGAGGCAGAGGGAGAGAGGGGAGAGAGGCGAGTTGGTCATGTGCTGGGGAACAGGCCGTCCCCCCTGCTGCTGCAGTCACGGTTGCTTGGTAGGGCTGGTGATGGGAGGGGGGTTTCCGGGCTGGGACCCCGCCCGCCCAGCTGCCCCTCTCCCTGGAGCTGAGGACCCTGCAGGCCATCAAGAGCAGGGTTAGTGCGGGAGGTGGCACCTTCTTCCCTTCCTGCTCGAGACCCCACGGGCTGGGGATGAGGGCTGGTGAGTGCCCTCCCAGAACTGGTTCTGGTGTGATTACGGGGTAGCCAGGAACTGTCCCCACAGCAGTGACCCTGACTGACCAGCACCCTCCTATGCCTCTACGGAAGCACTAGGGTCCAGTGTCCTATCCTTAAACAATCACACCAGGACAGACTTTTTAAAAAAAGAAAACTACTTCACTTTCTTCCTCCTGCAAAAATTGCAAAGTACAGTGGTGTTTCTGAACCCATTGTGGATATCAGGAGTACCCCACCTCCAATGTGGGGAAGGCAGAGGGGTGTCAGTTCTCTCCCAAGGCCCCTTTTGGAGCCTATGCCCCCACCCACCAGTCCCCTGCAAGTCAGTAGCTGAGGAGCTTGGGGGACCGCCCCCCCAGGCTAGGCCAGGTGGGAAGGCGCCTGGCCCCACCAACCAGCAGGGTCTCGGGGTTGGGCTCAGCAGCAGACACTGGTGCACAGGGGTGGATGGACGGGCACATGGAGAGTGACAGGACTCCTGGGAGGGCGGGGGAGGGCGGAGGATAGCTGCATGGAGGGAAGAGAGACAGGGGCGGGGACTCCACGAAGTCCTGGCTCTGAGGGAGGCTCCGCAGACCACCTGGGAAGAAAGGGTTAGTGCTGGCGGAGGAGAGAGGGTGAGCAGAGAATTCACGACAAGGCCCAGGCCCAACTGAGGGTCCCTTCGGGGGGGCAGGCCCAGGTCCAGCTTGGAGGGGGCAAGGGAGGGAACCAGGAGCTAGGATAAAGACCCAGCCCGCCCCAGCCCGCCGCCACCACCTCCCCTGGCCCGGACCCCGATTTACCTGCGACCATCCCCGGCTCGGGAGGAGGGACCAAGGCAGCGCTGATGTCAGAAAGGTGGGGGGCCCCGCCCCACCCCCCAAATTCCCTGAAAAGAGGAAAACCTCAACTGCATCTCGTTGGCCACCGCTGGCCTGCCCGCCCTTGCCCCTTGTGTCCCAGCACCACCTGCTCAACTGTCCCTTACTGGCCTGTCCCTTACTGATCTGGTGAGTCAGTGTGGCCAAGCCCTCCACCTCCTCCTCCCCCGGGGTGCCACCAGATACCCCTCAGCCAGGGGCCTGGCGCTTCCTTGTTACTTCCCTGCTAGGAGAACCCAGATGGTTAGGGCTGGGGCAGGGCAGGGGCTGTGGTGAATTCTCTGCTCCTCCTTGGCGGGCCCCAGGGGGACAGGGAGGAAATTAGAATTAGCACCAGCCCCAGGCAGGAGCCACTCCTGACTCTACTTCCCACCTGGCTCTCAGTGAGGGATGTTTAGCCTCCCTCCCCAGCACCAGGGACAGCTTGACCCTGGGTTCCGCAGGTACAAAACAGCCATGAGCACACCCCCTTCCTGGAGAAGCAGGGGAGTCAGGCACAGGGAGGGGCCGGAACCAGGCCCATCTTGGGTCTTGCCTCTCCTCTGAGGCCCCGCCACCTCCCTGTCCCCGATTTCCTTAGGGTTGGCCCGAATTCTGTCTAGCACACCTGGCCTTCACCCTTGTCCCCTGTGCCCCGAGTCCCCCCTCTGCCCAAACCTGGGTCTGTGTGTGTGAAGGGGGTGGTGGGAGGTCTTAGAGCCTGATCTAGTCAGAGGGTGTCAGGGGGAGGAAAAGCAGAAGTCATCGCGGGGAAAGGGGAGAGATGAGGAAAGGTCTGCCTGGGGCCTTGGGCAGCAAGGACCCCTCCCCAGCACCGAGCTTCCAATACCTCCTCTTCCCTCCTCACAGCCCGCCCCAGAGAGAAAGGATCCGGTGCTACGGTTTCCAAACCACGGCCTGCAAGAAGAGTGGCTGGTGCAGGTGGAAGACTCCAGGAGAGAGGAGGGAGGGCAGATGGGGGGTCCTCTGTGAAGCCCAGGCCTCCTGAGATGGGGGAGGCGCGGGGTGGGGAAGGGGGCAGCTTGGAGGGACCCCGCCCCACCACCCTCAAGGGGATGCTCCACAGACCACCGTAATTTCACGGGACAGGGTCGCTAAAGGCCCTCTCATCCCAGCCCCGGCAGCCCTCCTCTGGTCGGTCAATTTTCACATGCTGCTAGGGCTGGAAGTGACTGACTGTCCCAGGCATGCCAGCTGCAGCCCTGCTCCCAGACAGACAGTCCCTCCCCTGTCAGGCCCTCTTCGAGAAATTACGGGGCCTGCAGAGGTCCCCAGTGCAGGTCTGTGCCCGCCCACCCACTCCCTGGTCCTCTAACACCACAGCCCAAAAGGAACCCTGACTGCAGCTTTGCAAGTGTGCAAAATCAGAACCCACCCAACCCCCGCCCCCAGGAGCCCAGCCCGCCCACGACCCCCAGGGCCAGGGCTGGGACAGCAGGTGCCCCTCCAGGACCTGCTGGGGAAGGGGGCGGGGGGCGGTACTCCACACTCCACACAGCTCTGGGCCTCCGAAACGCCACACCGGAAGAACTAGGCCACTGGAGCCCAAGAGAGGAGGGATCTGCTCCCCAAAAGGAAAACAAGGGCGTCCCCCCATCCCCCCTCCCCTGAACAGGGAACTCGGTTGCAAAAGGTGCACGGGGAGAGGAGGAAGAGAGGAGAGAAAGAGACAGCTCACCCGGTGCCCGTGGGGGCCGGGAAGGGAGTCCCTCCCTCCCCTTACACTCGCTCCTGAAGGAGGCAAACGTGAAAGAAAAGGCTGGGTCCCCGCAGGGGCCAGGGACGGGGACAAGGGACAGGGAGAGGAGAGGCAGAGAGAGGGGGCGGGGGGAGAGAGGGAGAGAGGGAGAGAGGGAGAGAGGGAGAGAGGGAGAGAGAGAGAGAGAGAGGGGCAGAGTCCTGTGCGAGCTCAGAGAGCTGCTTCCGCTGTCTGGAGGGTGGGGATCCCCATGGCCGTGGCCACACCAGGGCCCCGGGTGGACCGGGTGGGTGGGGAGAACAGGGCCGGGCGGGTGGGCACATGAGTATGGTACAGGTAGAACAAAGTGTGAGTTAGGGGTTAGCATTGGTAACAGTGCGTTTACCTTTCTGCTCCACTTCTACTTTAAGCATCGGAAGAGAGAGAGAAAACAAATTGAAAAAAAATGTGCAAGAAAAAAAGAGAAAAAAAAAAGAGATTAAATTGCTTTCGTTTCTTTTCTGGCCACACGCCCCCTTTTTCTTTCCTTCCTTGCTTCTGCTTCCCCAGCCCCTTCCGTAGCATCCGTTCAGCCCCCACCCCCAAGTCCCTTCCTCTGGGGTAGGGTGGGGCCACGGGTGCCAGGGAGACAGTCCAGGGGAGAGGGGACACACAGGAGGGGGAGACAGAGAGACACGCAGGGCACAGGCAGCGGGACAGAGCCTTGGGTGGCAGGGGGAGCCCCAGCTGAAGGGGCTCTACCTGGAAGGGAACCAGGAGTGGGGAGTGGAGGAACCACTCAGCTCCCCCCACCCCTCCTGCGAAAACTGGGGCCCCTGGGGAAGGGGTTCAGTGTCTCCTGGGCCTGGGCGCCCCTCCCAGTCAAGAGCAAGGCTGAACTCCTTCCCCTTCTGCTGGCCTCGCCCGGGTCCAGCTGTGCGCCCCTCGCCCTTCACGAGCCCTCATGACCCAGAGGATGCAGAGGGCAGCAGAGCCACAGACAGACCGACAGACCGACAGAGGTGAGAGCGCCAGGGGGGAGACAGAGGCAGAGTCAGGGTGGGAACACACACACACACACACACACACACACACACACACACACACGCTCCCACACCCCCTGGGCCAGCCCCCCACCCCAGGACCCAGGGGCCCATGTCCGCCTGCCCTGCCCACCACCCCGATAGGTGGGCAGCACCTAGGGGAGGAAGAGGCCCGGTTAGACTGCACAGCTGTAAAGCAAATCCAGCGTTAGTCCAGCATCTGGGGGCCCCGCATCCAGTGCCCCTCTCCTTGGGAATCCCTGCCCCCCACCCCAGACCCATCCTCCCCAGCACTGGGGTCACCCCGGCCTCTGAAGCACCCCCCAAGGCTCTGTGTCCTAGGACTGGGAAGGTCTGAGTGGAGGAGGGAGCTCTGCAGGGGCAGCGCAGGCTCCCTTCCCAGTGCCTCGGGGAATGTTTGGGGGACACCCGCTGGGCCTCCCTGTCTTCTCACCTAGCTCTGGGGACCCCTCAACTCCAGCCCCCTTCTTCTGGAGGGCCAGGAGCTAGCGCAGCCCAGTCACACCTCTTCCTGCCTAGCACATCCGCAGCAGATGCGCGATTATGGGCGTCCTGTCCCCCAGGAAAGGGCTCGCTCCCACTGGGCGGGGGCCGCCATCCCTGCACTGCCCCGCCACCCGTCCCCAGAGCCCTCCTGGTCTCTGACTTGTGGCCCAGGAAGTGTCCAAGCTCCTCTCCTCCCTGGCCCTGCAGCATTTTCTCTTCTGCTCCGTACCTGCGTGGCCTCTGCTTGCTCTGGAATTGGTTTGGACCAGGGAATTTTTCCTGCCCTGTTTCTGCCTGCCTCAGAGAAGTTGGATTTGTCATCTGTTGCTAGTTTTATTTTGATCATCAGCGCAGTAATAGTAATTGGTAGGAGGTAATGAGTAGTCACAACAAAAGCAATGACTACCAAGTATCCACCACTTTAGGAGATGCTGGGAATCGTGCCAGACACCTCTCAGGCAGTCTTCTGAGAACCCTGACTACAGATGGGGAAACTGAGACTCAGTGAAGTGAAGCCACACAGCTGAGGCCATGTCCCTTCTACTCCTGACAGCATCCCGGGCAGGCTCAGCCCTCCCTCCCTCCCTGGTGGCAGAGTGGAAAGGCCCAGCCAGCCATGGGAAGGGGCATCATACCATTCCTGAGCATAGCTGGAACCGGGTGTGGGCTGGGTGCTAGGATGAGGACAAGCCTCTGCCTTCGGGAGTCTGCGCTCAGCACACAAAAGTATGCTTGGGCACCGGGGTTGAGCATTCCTCACACATTCTCTCCCAGGCTCGTGCTGCCTTCTGCAGTGGCCCAGAGAAATTAGATCATTTGTGCCAGGTTTCAGAGCCACAAAAGTTAAGAGCCCATGAAGCCTATGCCCACCCAACTTCCCCTCTGTTCTAGCTCCTTCGCTGCCTCCCTGCTCACCCCCGCCCCTGCTGCAAGGTGGGCAGTGTCCCCAGTGCTGTAGGGAGGCTTCTGGTAGCACATGGGCATCCCCCTCAGGTGACGGTGGAGGCCTCAGGCACTGCAAGGAAAGGGCGAAGACTAAAAGAAGAAAGTTACGGAAGCACATAAGCAGTCCTGTTTCCGAGAGAGGAATCCTTGTGTCACCTGAGAGGAGAAATCAAAGGTTGGGGGTTGGGGTAGGGAATGTTGGGGTGGGAAGGAGGGGGAGTTATAAGGTCTCCTGCTCCCCTGCCCCTTCACTCAGACACCCTGGTGGCCCTGCCCCCTCCCCCTCTGCCTGGAGGCCCTACCTCCAGGTTGGCTGTAGGAAGCCAGGTGGAGAGGACAGAAGAAGGGATCATGGGAGTAAGGAGGGATGAGAAAGGGCAGGATCAAAGGGTGATGTCAAGGACAGGGTGCTGAGGAGGAGAGACCTTGTCTTTGCTCTCCCTGGCTGGGTACAGGACAGCCAGGCTCCTGGCTCCCCAGATCACCTTCAGCTTGCTGGGGGCCACTCTCAAGTCCAACATGGTGGTACTTCCTCTGTAGACAGGAAGTGCTCTCATGATAATGAGCAAAACAACTGGGAGATAGGAATCTGTTGATGATGCCCCCAGCCCTTCACACCGACTCTGCCACCAGGCCTCAGAATGTGGTCTGCCTCTCCAGGGGGATACAGTCGGGTTCCATGATGGGAAGAGACTGGAGTGGGGGTATGTGAGGGAACAAGAAAAAGGGCAGGAAGTTGGAAGAGGAAGGGGGAGTGAGAGGGACGAGCTGGTATGTGTGTGTTGGGGGCGGGTAGGAAGGGAACAAGTGTGAGAGGAGGAGGGAGGCAAGAGGGATCAGAAGAGCAGCAAGGTTGAGAGGAGATGCAAGCAGCCAGAGCACAAGAGCGAGACCTTGAAGTGATTCAACAAGCGAGGGTGTGTGACTAAGTGGGGTGAGTGTGGCCTGTGGAACGGGACAGAGTCTGTGGGGCAGGGAAGCAGGCACCAGGTGTGCACGAGCATGTCTGGGAGCAGAGAGTGTGAGGCCCAGGCAGGCCCCAGGCAGGCAGCCCATGTGTGCTGGGTCAAGGTTTCTCCTCCTCGCTTGCAACATGGGGGAGGGCCCGCACCCGCAGAGGAACAAGATGACTCACTGTAGGGGACACAGTCGTACTGCACCTCCAGGTACTTGTAGGTCCCAGGACAAGGGTCAGGAAAGGCGTCGGAGCCAGCGACCACCACACACTGGGTGCGGTTGTTACACCTGTGGAAGAGAAAGGGATCTGGGAAAGATGGACTTAGATCCTGGGGACTGCAGGGTTGGGAGAGGAACAGGTACCCCAGACTGAGAAGGCACCAGGGAGCTGGGGACCAGGGCCAAAGGCTGGGCATGGGTGTCGCCTTCTGATCTGCCTGCCACTCTTTCCCACTGAGCCTTGGCTCTGCATCCCCTCAGGGCTAGGATGGCAGCATCACCCCATAAGCAACTGCCCCCTACTATTATGGCCCTGGTATTTTCTTTCGGTTGACTTTAGAGCCCTTGCTTTGTTCACAGAAGAGAAACGTGTGTGACATGGCATGTTGGCAAACCTCCTATCCACCCAGGGCTTGCAGCAGCCAGTGGGCCACCTCGGACTTCCTCACACACACCTCCCACCCTTGGGATGCAGCACAGTCAGGACTGCTAAATCCCCACAGGGAACCTGGGGCCCTGGCAGCTTCTCAGGGACCTGGTTGGCATACAGAGCGGGGAGCCTGTGGAACAGCCACAGAACAGGGGTTCCCCTTAGCCATCAGTCCCCACATCCTGGAACAGGCCAAACTGAACACCAGCGTGCGGGAAGAAATCCAGAGGCTTCTGGACAGCCAGGGGCAGAAGGTGCTCCAGGTCCACCTTCAGTCCTGCCCTAACTGGGGAGTGCTAGGTGCTGAGTACAAGAACTCCAGAAAGGGCAGAGAATCTCCTGGGGTCACGGAGAGCAAGGGATGGTGGGGGTTGGGGGGCAGAGAGGGTTAGGAAGGGCCTGATGACATCCACCCACCCCACACCCCACCCACTTCTCTAACAATTCAGCATTGGCCTCCAAAGATTAATCATCACCATGTGACCCATTGATCTCACTCCTAGGTGTGCACCCAAGAGAACCGGAAGCAAAGAATGAAGAAAATTCTGTACACCTGTGTTCAGAGGCGCGCTACACACATCTGCTAACAGGGGGTGACAGCCCGAAAGTCCAGGGGGATTGGCATGAATGTGGCCTGTCCACACACAACAGAATATTACTTGGCCATAAAGAAGAAGAGAGTTCTGCTTCATGCTGTTAAAGCCTCAACACTGGTACTGCATGACAGAAACCAGAGCAAGAGGCCACAGAGTATGACTCCATTTCCGTGAAATATTCAGAACAGGCAACTCCACAAAGACAGAGAGCAGATGAATAGTTGAGGGGAGCAACTGCTAACGAGTATGTGCTTTCCTTTTGGGGTGATGGAATGTTCTGGAACTAAGTTGAGATGGTGGTTGCACAATACTGTGAATGTACTAAATGTCATGGAATATGTTTGCTTTAAAATGGTTCATTTTAATCATTAAAAATAAACAGTGCACAGCCAGGCTCAGCGGTGCATGCCTGTAATCTCCACACTTGGGGTGCTGAGGGAGAAAGATCATAAGTCTGAATCCTGCCTGGGCAATTCTGCAAGACCCTGACTCAAAATAAAACATAAAGCCAGGTGTGGAACACAAGTGTAATCCCAGCACTGAGAGGCTGAGGCAGGGATTCCAAATTCAAACCCAGCCTGGGCAACTTAGTGACTTAGCAAGACTGTTTCAAAATAAAAAGGGCTGGGGATGTAGCTCAATGTAAAGGCTTTGGGAGTGAGAAAAAGAGAGAAAGAGAGCTAGAAATGCAGCTCACTGCTCCCTGGCTTCAATTCCCAGTATTGCAACAACACAACAACCAGGGCTAGGGGTGTGGCGCAGGAGTATAGCAACTGCTTAGCATGTACAAGGTTCTGGGTTCCATCCCCAGCACCACAAATAAATAATAACCATGATGTTATGTTGTGTTATGTCCCTTTTTGTTGTTATCTGTGGGACTAGGGGTTGATCCCAATGCCTTCCCACTGAGCTACATCCTTAGCCCTGTTCATTTTTTGACAGGGCCTGACTTAGTTGCTAATTGCCCAGGCTCTGCTCAAACTTGCGACTCTCCCCACCACCTCAGCCTCCCAGAGTGCTGAGATTACAGGCTTATACTACCGCACTTGGCTTTTGTCATCCTAGTAAACAAGAAAGCAAACCAGAACAACCCACTACTCACTGGACTTAGGCTGGAGACTTCATATCCCAGCCACTTTTGGCACTGGAAATGCATGTGGCCAAATTTTGGCCAATGAGGTGATGGAGCTGTGAGTTAGAGTAAGAAGTGCAGATGACCGTGTTCTGGCCAATGAGGTGAAAGTGGGTGTGGCATGTGACTTTAAAGGGCCAGGCTTGGGAGGGTGATAGCCAGGTGAGGCCTACTCAGGAGTCTTCTCAACTCTGATGGACTGTAGGTCAACTATTCTGGGTGTCTCTAGCACAGCAGCTTCCGTATAACCCTGATTAACAGAAAGGGCTTCCAGATTTTGGCAGAAGGAGGGGGAGCAGTGAGGTTGGGCACCCAGGGAGCAGGGTAGAGGCCACATAGTGCTCCCTTAGCCCCAGGAGCTGAGCTCCTCAGTCCCAGGGCTGGGTGTTAAGAAGGCATGACTGATGCCCACAGAGGGGATGGTGGCTCCAGGGCAGCCCTTCTTTCTCAGCCACCTAAGGACACCTGTCCCCTGCCTGAAACTCCCGAGGTGCATTATCCCCTGTCCCCAGCCTCCTTCCCTTTCTACTGTGCTACAGGTCCTGGAGCAGACACTGTAATGTCCTGGGCATTTGGCAAATATGCATGAGTGGCTGCTGAGTCCCTGGTCAAGGACACAGCAGCAGGGGACAAAATTCCCTATCCCTGCAGGGCTAAGAGCCCAGTGAAGGAAGATGTAAAATAAACATCATTCCCAGGCATAAGATCTGATGGAAATGCAGACAATAAGAAGGGTCAGGAGCAACAGTGGGAAAGCAGTTAGGAAACGAGAAAGGCCTCACAGAGGGGATAGTTAAGGGACACAGGGGCACAAGTGATAGGGGAGTCATTTGAGTGTCAGGGAACAGCAAGGGCAAGGCTCAGAGGAGGCTCCATGTAAGGAACAGACACATGGCTAGAGCTGGAGGGAGGGGGGGCAGGTGGTGAGCAGCTTGTGCAGGGCCTTCTGCCCAAGGCAGGTGGGAGCCACAGAGGGCTCTATGGAGAGGGGGCTCACCTTGCTGGATGTGTGGGGAGGCTGCACTACAGCAGCCCAGAGGGCGGCGAGGGGTGTCTTGCAGCAGCCAGGGAGAGGCAGCTGTGGATGCTGCCAAGGTCAGGCCCTGGCATTATCTGAGGGACAGGTTGATGGGTCCTGGTGTCTGCATAGGGAGCCCACATGTGGGGGCTCAGCCTGGCATGTGCTGCACTCACATACACCAACACTGCCACACCCCATCAGATGCACACAGCCACACACTCCAACATGCACCCACCACCAGCAGACATACACTCAGCACACTCTGTTACAAACATGCTCTGAAGGGCCAGGTGTAGTGGCATACGCCTGTCATCTCAGCACTTGGGAGGCTGGGGTAGGAGGACTGTCATGAGATCAGGGCCAGCCTGGACTACATAGGGAGACACTGCCGCAGAAAACAAACCAAACCAAATAGTCACTGGAACACACACCTAGAAACACAGCAACACAAATCATATTCACATAAATACACTTACACACAGACCTCCTCCCAGACATACACTTACTCTCTCAGGCACACAGCCACAGCCACTCACACAGGCTCAGACATGGACAGTCACACACACTCACAGATGCACACTTAAACACATAAGCAGGTTTGGAGTATAGCTCAGTCGTGCCCTGGGTTCCAACCCCAGCATGGTAAAAACAAAAGAAAACATGTAACTGTCAGGTGTTGTGGCACACATCTGTAATCTCAGCACTCTGGGACTCTGAGGCAGGAGCATCACAAGTTTTTTGTGTTTTTGTTTTTTTTTTTGGTACCGGGAATCGAACTTGGGTCCTTGCGCTTGCGCAGCAGGCGGCAAAACCACTGAATTAAATCCCCAGCCCAAGGAGGATCACAAGTTTGAGCCCAGTCTGGGCAACTTAGGGACTTTGCGAGACCATGTCTCTAAAAAAGGGCTGGGGATGCAGCTCAGTGTGTAAGTCTTGGGTCCATCATCCCAGCACTGGAAAACAAAACAAAACAACACAACACACAAGCACTCAGACATAGTCTTTCATGTTGAGACACAGACAGCTGCTTGCTCACACGCACACACACTTTTGTCATCTGTGTGTGGTTGTTCCCTCCTGGGGGAAGCCTACCACCTCTCATAATTGGCACAGAGGGCTCTCTGTGTGTTTCCACAACGCCCTCACCATGTCACCTGCCCTTGCCAACCTTGATCAAGCTTCCGGAAGTGATGGCAGGTGGGGAGGGACAGGCTGTGTGTCTGGTCCAGGTCGGTGCAGGGGATGCAGGCCAGTGTGCAGGAGATGGCTAGGTTTTATCTGCTGTCTTCCCAGGGCCCAGCACCTGGTAGGTGCCAGGAACTAGGCATCACATGCATAAAAGGGAATTGAAGGGTGGACGGAGTGCACAGCCTGGGGTGCCTGGGTCGCTCACCTTTGCGACATGATCTTGAAGGCATCCGGGAGGTAGCACTGCACGTTTTCCATCTGGAAAGGGTCAGCATCACAGATCTTGTCATCTGTGCGCCCATAGTTGGCATTTTCCACCATGATGACATCGCTGCCCGGGCACCGCAGCTCAATGGGGTAACCTTCGCACGCCAGCTCCCGGCGCATCAGCCCAAATGGGAGCCCAGCACGGCTCAGGCCTGTGGGAGAGTGTAGACAGTGTCACCCTCAGCTGGGAAGGGCAGAGCCTGCAGCTGCCTGACAGGGACAATGCCTCCAGCTCAGCTGTGTCCTCAGAGCCATATGTGGGCCTCTTAGTGTGCCTGCCTGTGTGTTAAAGATGATAACCTGGCCCAAGAGGCTGCCCTTTACCCTTGGCTCTGCCTAATAAGGAGCTGGGTGAAGCTCGGCCTTGAGCACTTGCCTCGTGTGCAGGAGGCCGGTGCAGGAGGCTGGCACAGAAAGAAAGAGCGGAGGCGGAGCACATCGGTCCTGCAGGCCTTGGCTATGACCCCTCATCTTTGTTGCTAAGTTTACGGGCTGATTTGTGTCCCCCCAGTTCACATGCTGAAGTCCTAATTCAGTCCCTCAGTGAGTGACTATCTGGCGGTACTGTATTTACAGCACTGGGGACGGAAGCCAGGGCCTCACATACACTCTACCACTGAATGACACCCTCAACCCTTTTCATTTTTATTTTTTTGGTATGGGGATCAAACTCAGGACCTTGTGCTTGCCAGGGAGGCGCTGTGCCACTGAGCTACATCCCCAGTCCCCTCGACCCTTTTTAAAACTTTATTTGAAACAGGGTCTCAATAAGTTGCTCAGGCTGGCCCTGAACTTTTGATCCTCCTGCCTCAGACCTCCGTTTCTGGGATTACAGGTGTGCACCACGACATCCACAAAGATGAGGTCTGGAGGTAATGGAATTAAAATAAGGCCATCAAGGGTCAGGGATTTAGCTCAGTGGTTCCGCCACCTGCCTCAAAAGCGGAAGGACCTGAGTTTGATCCCCGGTACCAAATAAATAAATAAATAAATAAATAAATAAGGCCATTAGGGTGGGCTCCAAACCAATATAACTGGGGCTCTTATAAAAGGGGGGATTTGAGCTGGGCGTGGTAATGCACACCTGTCATCCCAGCACTCTAGGAGGCTGAGGCAGGAGGATCCCAAGTTCAAGGCCAGCCTGGACCACTTTGCAACTTTTATGGTTTGGTCTGGAATGTTTTCCAAAACTCTGGTAAGCTCAGAGGTGGGATTTTTGGAGGATGGTTGGAACCTGGAGCACTGTACTCTTCAGTGGATTCTTCCACTGGTGTGTTTAGCAGTTGACTGTGCTGTCAGGAGGTGGGGCCTGGTCAGAAGAGTTGGGTAGGGAAAAATTGGAAACAAAGCTTTTGGACATAGAGGGAAGGGGACTTGAGGGGGGGGGAATGGGATAAAATAAAATATATTTTTTAAAAAAGAGTTGGGTCCCTAGGGCATGACCTGGAAGGGTGTGTCTCCCTCCTTGGCTCCTCCTTTCTTTCCCTGCTTCCTGGTTGCCATGCTGTGAGCAGTTGTCCTCCACCTAGACCCTTCTACCATGCTATTTCCAAGTGGAAGTCACCCAACTATGGACGAACCCATAGAAACTATGAACCAAATGAATCTCCCCTTTAAGTTGTGAGTGTCGTGTACTTTGTACCAGTGATGAGAATGTGACTAAGACAGCAACTTAGCAAGACCCTGCCTGAATATTAAAAAAATACAAAAGGGGGTCAACTGTATTCACATTTACATGGTTGCCCACCCTCACGCTGTAGGGTATATTTCTTTTCCTACTTTTACTTGGCTCCAACTCATTCTGCACAGCCTGTTTCTTTTCTACCTTTAATAAGACTTTGCTACTGTTAAATAAATAAGTAAGTAAGTAAATACATAAATAAAATAGGGCTAGGGGTGTAGCTCAATGCAGAGGCCTTGGGTTCAATCTCCAATGCCCCCCACACAGATGAAAAAAAACAAGGTGAGGGAGATTTGGACACAGACCCGTCCCAGAGAGACCACACGCTGACACAGAGAGGAGGTGGTCATGCCTAAACCAAGGACAGAGCCTCAGAAGCCACCAACCCCACAACGCCCTGAGGGTGAACTGCAGGACCGTGGGCCAGCGAGTGTCTGGGACGCTTTGTGACAGAAGCTGCAGCAGACAAGTCCCCCGCAGAAGGACAGGGTGGGGCTTGGGGATGGTGCTCAGCCATGTCCATGTGGCACGAGCGTCCCTGGCTGGCCAAAAGCCACGCTTGTTGCCACACATCACCACCAGGAGAGTTAATGCTGTCTGTGGCCCGCTGGGAGGGGACAACTGTCAGCCCCGCAGGTGGAACCTTCCGGAACCTGCCCCAGTGCCTGTGTCCCAGGCTAAACCAAGCTGAGGCTTCTGTCACCATCACCGTGACTGTGAGTATACTGGCTTCCGGCGGGTCCAGTGTGGTAAGGTGAGGGGCTCGGGGGCCTCCCTGGTGCCACACTGTGCCACCCGAGGAGCAGAGGAAGCGTGGGAACACACTCCGGTTTCCAGAAGTCACCATGGGCTTTGCTGCCTCCTGGACAACAGGGCAGGCGTAGTGTGGCCCAGGGACGCCCTAGACCTGCCACATCAGAATCCGGGGCCAGGAGCCTCTGATGGCTCCATGCGACCAGATGATTCTGACCCATGCTCAAGTGTGGGCCGCCACTAGCAGTGGCCTTCCCCGTCTGTTTCCCAATGTGTAAAATGGGGCATCCACAGCCCAGGGCCGTATTGCAGGGGTTCCAGACTCTAAAGAATGATTTTTTAAAAAATTTTTGAGACAGTCTTGCTAAGTTACTCAGGCTGGGCTCAAACGTGCCACTTCCTGCCTCAGCCTCCTAGAGTGCTGGGATGACTGGAATGCACCACCACTCTAGCTAAATGCTGCTTCTTGCTTTTATGAATACTATTTTCTCATATGGGGGTCAAGTAGGACAGGATACCCCCTTTTTGGAGATCTGGCCTCTCTGATCCTGGTGGGCTCCCCAGGAGTTATGCAGCTAAGTCCTTGGGGTTTTTTGGGGTGAGTCAAGTCCCAGACAGAGAAAGTTTGACATGTGCTCCTCTTGCACCATCTGCTTCCCCGCTAATTTTAGCTTTCCCAGCAGCAGAGAGCTGGGGGCGGAGGGCTCACTTAGGGGTCTGGGGGTGGGAGCAGCTCCTCCCACCCAGCTGGGGCCTGGGTAGATCTGGGTGGGCAGAGATCTTGGCACCAGGCTTCCAGCCACCCCAGCAGTGCTGAGGCCCCGGGGCCTGGCTGGACGACGACATCCTACCCCTGCCCCTCCTGTGCCCACCGTGGGGACAGTAATTGAGTAATCGGCTGGGTGGGCGGGCAGGCTCGGGGCACTAATTGTGGCGTGTGCTGGATCCCAGGCCAGCACAGGACTGCGCTGGGTAATTAGTTGTTTTTAAATAAACGTCAGCGGGCATGCCTTAATTAAGCCTTCCTCCCAGTGAAAGCCTCAAAGACGTAATCACAGAGCGAGGGAGAGAGAAAGAAAGGTGGGGGGAGAGGAAAGGAAAAGATGGCCCCCCAGGAAGCCCTGGCCGGCCAGCTACATGGGCCTCAAGGAGGGTGGGGGACCCCTCTGGCCTGGCCCAGCAGAGGTCTTCGGTAGGTTGGGAAAGATTTCAGGACACCTCCCCACACACAGCAGCACCTACCTTGAGTGGCCGAGGTGACCAGGATGGCAGTGACACAGAGACTCCAGAGCACGGCGGCCAGGCGGGCCATGGTGGCGGCCAGGGGCACGTGCGGCTCTCAGTAGCCTGTGTTTGGAGCCTTGGCCCTCATCACCGGGTGGGCACCACAGCCTGGCCCACCAACCTGGGGAGGACACAAAGGTGAGGTGGCAGCCAGGAATGTCCCCCAGAGCCCATGAGAGGCCGGGGCCTCCATCCTGCAGCCCAAGAGCCGACGTCCAGAGCCTCCAATCTGTCCTCTAGGGAAGCAGCTGCTCTCTCACGGCAAGACCGCCCCATTCCCACATCCAGGCCCCACTGGGCAGTGTGCCTCTGACCGAAAGGACGGCCACCTTTCCCCACCTGAACCACACCAGGACGCCACAGCTGCCAAGTGTCCACCTGCACCCTTAACATCCGACCCTGCCCAGCCTCCTCGCCCGACCAGGAGGTGGGGCACAGACGTCCCTGGGGTGGGGACCCAGGCGTGCCCGCTCGGGCAGGAGGCCAGGCTCCAGGCCCCCTGCTTCCTGTCTCTCGTTCTCTGGTAGCTAATTAGAACCCAGCTGGCTGGCGCCACAGATCAGGGACCAGGGACACCCAAGTCCCTTCTTTCCCTTCCAGGTGGCCCTCGGGGTGAGCTGGAGACAGGCAGGCAGGGCAGGAAGGGGTGCTGTCCCGGGGGACTGAGGGCAGTGAGTGCCTCAGGTGTCCCCTGCCAGTGTCCCCAGCCCTGCAGGCTCCATCCCAGGGCACAGTGGCTCCATAGGCACAGGGCTTAGTTCTGCAGGCATCCTCCTCCCGTGGCTGCTCCTGTCACCTCGATGCTGCCTCAGCCCCCATGGACACTTGAACTTGGCCAGCAGACACTGCCCTCAGCCCTCTGCTGTATCCACACCTGGTCCTCCAGAGTGGCCCTGGCCCAGCACCATCCACCTGGCGAGGAACTGGTTGAAGACCCCCATTCTCCAGGAAGGATCCTCCAAGGCAGGAACCCAGCCCGTCCCTAGGTCTCAATACCAAATATTCTATTTTGGTTTTTTGTTTGTTTTGGTAGTGGGGATCAAACTCAGGTCCTTGCACCTGCAGGGCAGGCGGTGGAACAACTGAGCTAAATACCCGGCCCTTGT